CGAGAAACGTCTTGGTTCCGGTAAACATGGATCACGTGAAGTAAAAGATCAACCAGTTTTTTCAATAATTAAATGGGATGATGTTTATGCACGTAAATTAAAACCACCCATTGTACCTACACTTGAACATCCAGGTGATACGTCATGTTTCGATCAATATAAAGAAGATTGGCGATCAGCAGCATTTGCATCGGATAGAGAACTAGATTTATTTGCAGATTTTTAACGAATGCAAAACAAAAATGTATTTTTTATTATATATTTTTTTGTATATATACATGCAGTACAAGTGAACGTAAGAAAACAAAAATATATATCAAGAAGTTTTCAGTTAGAACTGAGCTTTAATTTCCTTTTTTTGTTTTCAATGAAGTTTTAGTTGATTTTACAGATGTCTGAGTTATTTCATTGAGACGTTTAATACCATTTGGTGTTTTAGCATACCAGTTCTATAGATATTTTTAGAGAAAATGAAATCGATATTAAATATTTAATTGATTACTTTTATTTTGTTTTCTTCATCGATAAAAACAGGAGTTTTTAAACCAAGTATAGAAATAAAATCATTCGCTGTACAAACATTATTCGAATATTTATCTTCATGTTTAATTTTAATCACTTTATATATTGTTTCAAGAATTTGTCCAGCTGTATAACCTTTTGATACCGATGCTAGAATACTCAATTCCACATCATTAACATTCATATGATTTTTTTCAAGTAAAATCTCATAAAAAATTTCTGGAAAAAAAAATATTCAAAATCAATCTTATGATAAAATATTTTTCTTACTACGTCGAGATCCATAGTTTGGTTTTGTAAATAGAATAATATGTTCATAAACTTTTAATAATTGTTTTATTCGTGCACGATATGGTTGTGATGACAAACCAATAAACATAATTCGTTCACCAGGTTTTATCTTTCTAATAAATTTATGCATAATACGTTTGAATCGTTTTGGTTCATATTCTTTTTCTTGTAGTGTAAGTTTTTTTGAAAAGAGTAATTCCGTATCACGTATCATACAAAGAATTGGAGACATCGTTAATACAAGCTATAGGATAAAAATGAAAATACTCATATCAAATAACTGAGACAAACAAAATGTAACAAACCCGTTTAATCATTGCAAAAAGTATTTTGAGACCATCAACTAATAAATAAAAGAAAGAAAAATTATGTTGACATTGTTGTAAAAATATTTTCTTCTCATAAAATATTAATTCAGGCGTTATAACTTGTGGGTGATGTATTATCCTACAGGAAATGTCTCACCTTTACCTAACATACTACGAAAGTACATTCTTAAAAATAAGTTTAGAGTAATAATTATTTTAAGAATATGTGTTAATGGTACAACTTCCTGTTTTTATTACTCGTATTAAAAGATTTGGCAAGATTTGATGGTGATAGATCAAGTAGAAGACCACCTAATTCATTGCATGCAATGTGTACAAGTAGTTGTTTACCACTACCATGGGGTCCAGCTAGAAGCACTGCTTTATGTGATGATAAATTCATATGAATATTTTGTGAACCTATCTTTTATAGAAATTAGAAATTTTACATGTGCGAATTTTGTTTAATTACAGAGAGGAAAAATAATCTGTAGAATGACAAGTTGTTGACAATCAAGTAATGATGGCATTGGTTCTTTTTCATTGTAACGAATTGTTTCAGCATTATACTGATAATCACCAATAAAATCTTGTTGACGAACTAATTTCGTAGGTATAATAATACCTGTTTCAACAAGTTCTTCGAAAATTGAATCATTTGTTCTATAATATGAATTGATCTATCTTAACTGAATTAATAGTTTTTACCTATTAGCAATAATATCTTTAATTTTTTTATTTCGTTTTTTTTTCTTTTTCTTCTTTTTCGATTTTTTTATTTGTTTATCGCTAACATTATCAATTGCTAGTTTAAGATAGATTAATTCATTACGAAGAATATTATCAACATCATGTCGTAGTTCATTTTCAACTTCATGTCGAAAATGATCAATACTTAATAATATATCATAATGTTGTTCTTTATTATAAGATTCATCTCGTTGATAAAATAATTCTTTATATATACTCATTTGATTATTAATAAGAGGAATAAATTTTGATGGTTCTAATTCATTTAGATTTGATTTCTAGAAGAAAAAAAAAGATAATGAAAGAGAATTAATTTATTTGAAGATTACTTGTTTTGGTTGCTTTTTATTTGGTTTTTTAATTTGTTTTTTAAGTTCTTTTCGTTTTGCTTTTCTATTTTTTAATAATTGAGCTTGCTAATAAAAAGAATACATTACTAAATACTTTTTTTTAATATTACGAAACCTTATTGACAAATTCTTGTACTTCAGCTAGGGTTATATCTTTGAAAAGTATATCAGAACCATTTGATGGATAAATGGGAAATTGACCACAAAGTTGTCGTGATTCTAATAACCATTGAATGAGAACATGTTCAATACGTGATTTAACTTCAGTTTCTTCATATTGACGAATTTTCTGTTTGATATAATCTGGTGATTCATCTAATTGTTGTTGATGTTGTAGTTGTAAATCTCGTCTCTTTTTATCTCGTTCATAACTATCGTCAGTCGTCAACACTTTTCTTTGCGGTAAGATCTAAAGAGGTAGAGCAAAAACTCTACGAGTTTCAGCACATCAATAAGAATAGGTATGTCTATAATTGTATTATTTCTCTTCTAAACAAGTTGTAAAAAGTTAAGAACCTTAAATTTGAAGTATTAAGAATGTTAATACAAAAAAATATTTCCTGATCATTTACAATTTAACTAAATATCTCTTAATACTATTTTTGTATTATATAACGGGACAATTCTCCGTTCAGGTACACTTATATTTATTTTGGAGAACTTATTATACCCAAGAATAAACTAACTATAATTGATACTGTTTATGACAAACTGTTTAAGATGTGTTGTGACATGAAGTCAGATGATAACAGATACATTCACCTCTAGTAATCTATAACAATTTTTCCATACCGATAGAACATCAACTGGCTAAAATCTAAGAAAAGAGATAATAGCCCTCTATCCTCTTTATAAATAGAAAAATATTTGTTTTATTCAATAACTTGTAATATGAATAATGAAAATGTCGACATAATTATTTTTACCATGCCTAGTAATTTTTGTTGTTCTATCTTTTTTTCATAAAATAATTTCTCTGAATATTTTTGCCTCCAAATAGTTTGAATAATAAGACAACTATCATTAAGATGATTATCATTAATTAATTTTGTTTCTGTAATCTTCACTTCGTTTTTCATTCGATGCATAAAATATGCATGTACACGACCTTGTCGAGCACGTTCATATGCTTGAAGTATACGTACAGCATGAGCAAGTGTAATTACATTTGTTTGATTAGTTTTTGTTATTAATAAAGATTTCGAAGAAGTTCTTATTGATAGATTAGTTTTTGAGTGATCTAATCGATTTAGAATCATTTCTATAGTATGATTTCGTTGTTCAACAGCTTTAAAACGATCTTGAGAAAAATAACGAGGAATTTTAATACATAAATCATCCTATAATAAGAAATCTCTTATTAATATCTTTATTTTTTACAAATTTCTACTAATGTTTTATTGTGATCAAGTGCTAAATCTTCGAAATATGTATATTCACAATTATCAAATTTAATCATTTCCCGTTTTAATTCAACTAATCGTCCAACAATACCATCAAGTAAAATACGTATAATCAAACGTTTTTGTGGATGAATTAATGTTTCATAAATTTCATCAAGTTTTCTCATTATATCATTATATTGAATAAATAATTCACGTACATAATTATTAGCTTGTCGTTTACTATCAAAACCTTTTGAAGCAGATATTTCAGATGTAACTAATCGTGAGAGTTTTATCTGAGTACCAGTCCATACTGTCTGTAGATGTTTCTGTGACATTAAAACTACATCAATTAATAAAAGCGCCATAAAAATTCTTTTTGTTTTTATTAATGTTCTAGAATTAGTTATAAGATGATGCAAGTAATGATGAATATATTTTGTCCATCTTATATCAGCTGTTACACCAGTGACGGATCTAGGATTTTGGAAGGGGGGGGGGCGATTCTGGCTAGAAGCTATTTTTTGAGTACAACCGACGTAGTGTGAACCTATTTTTTCGTTCGTTTTTGCTGTAAAAAAATCAAAAAAAGCTCGGAAGGGGAGGAGGGGCGATCGCCCCCCCTCCTAAATCCGCCACTGTGTTAGACGTCACTTGATATGAAGAATGCAACTTTTTTTATTATAAATTTTTCTTTATTTTTTATATGATAATAACTGTAAGAATGGTCTTTGAAATTCGTTCATCTATGTTCTATTTTGATTAAAATATGAGATGACAACCGTTATAATAACTTTGAATAGCATTAGATTAATATTTTGATTTTTTTTCGAAGTTTGTTCTCTATCGTTTTCGACAGTAAATCCTTCTTCTCACATTACCATCTACTAATTCTATTGTAAATCAATTGAGTAGTTATTATTAACTTTCATCTATTCGACAAGTAATACGAAATCAAAAATATAAATATCAGCTGTCAACATGCATTATACGCTTTTTAATCTTTCAGAAAAGAATTGTTCTTGATGTAATCTATTCTATTTAGTTTCTCTATATATTAATTTAGAGAAAGAATCCTGGTGTTAGAGCGTAATAAACATGAGAAGTTTCCCATAGAGTATCAATGGAAGAAAAGAATATATTACTACATAGAGTACGCTACTACATAGTTCCAACAGATAAGATTTCGGTTAGTTAGTTCTGGTAACCAATCATTTTTATGTTGTTGATTATTATGTTCTGTTTACATCTGTTACTCGACTCATTTCTGTTTCCACTTGTCTTCATTCCGTTTGATTTATTTTTTTTTCTTCTCTGTAAATTAAAACAATAAAAATAAAATGTTTGATTGGAAATTCAATCATTTTTTTTTGTCATATTAAGATTAAATAAAAATGAGTTCAGATGAAGTACCTGGGAATGAGAATGGCGACGATAAACCGCCTGTTCCTACTACTCCTATTACAACAATTGAATATAATCGAACAGTATCACAAAATTTACGTCATTTGGACGATGCTCTTACACATGCTATTGATCAATTAACTATATTTAATAGTGAAACCATGTCTGATTTATCGCTCAAATACGAATTAATACGTAATAATGAAGTAAGTTAATATCTATTCTTTCTCCCTATATAAATAATATTTATATCTATAATAGAGTCGTGTGATCGGTTTTTTTGCTCGTCAATTAATGGTATTACAAGTAGAGAAAGCAAATACTCAAAATGATGGATTTCATAGTGAATATCCTAAACTTGATCGATTTTTATCTGTTATGAATATTAATAAAGCATCAATTGAAGTATATCTATACTTTTCTTGTAAATTAGAAATATATATATATATTCTATTTTAGTATATTGTACAACGTACAACATTTGATGATTTATTAAATGGAAAAGCTACTGCACGTGAAAAACTTTTATATGATGCTGAAACAACAGAAGCCGAACGAAAAGATTTTCGTAATGCTTTTAGTGCATTAAAAGATTGTCTTGGTATATATATTATTTTTGTCAATTAATTTCTTGAATTAAAAATATTTTTTCTTCAGATTATTTTGCTCATGGTGGTACAAATGATAATGGACGTTTTTATTGGCATATTGAAACACCATCTCCTACAATGACTACTCCTCATTCCGTTCGTCAACATCGTTTGTCAGATACAGGTACAATCTTTAATTATTATTCATAATTCAATATGAACTTGTTCTCAATTATAAAGTTCTTTCAGTACCATCAGTTAGTACAGATTCAGTAAGATCAACATCTGTATCTTCATCACTTTCAACTGAATTTGGTGCTGTAACAAATAACAACAATATAACAGCAACAATATCATCACCAAGTCCTCGACGGAATAATTGTGAGAAAAAAATTTGTCAAAGAAAAAAAAATGTTTATGAATTTTAGCAATTCATACACCACCACCATCTCGTTCTAATCATTTATGTGTTAATGATAAAAGAAAATGTGGACATCCAAGTAAAAAAAGTCTTGTTGATCCATCAGTATTTGCTAAGTAAATACAAAAAAAGACTACTATAAAAAAAAAGAATATCCTAATTGCTTTTTCGTTTTAATTAGCATTAATCCACAACGTAATATAGATCTACAATTACCAGATGGTAACACAATATCTCGACGAAGTTCTTATGGTTCAGATACAGAGAGTCGACTAGCATCGGGTATGAATATATTTTTATTACTAAAGAAAATTAGAATTTTTGCAGATGGGTTATCTGAATTTCAAGTCTTTTCATAGTAAATTAAGAAATTTGAACAATCTTCATTTTTTCTTCGCATAGACTGTTAAAAATAGCCTTAAAAATGAAATACTTCATCTTTCTCATCAATTGATCATGCGTAAAATAATGTAAATAATTTTGCCACAATTAAATTCATATAAGCTTGCTTTTAAAGGTAGTTAGCATAATAATTTCAGCTACACATTCAATTCTAATTGCTTACAAATTAATAATACATTTATTAACAACTATTTTTTCTTGAATTTAAGTAATAATATATATTTTGAAATTTGAATAGGTACCGCAACACCGAAATCTCCAACCATTCGTTCGCCGACTATGTCAGGTTCGCCAATGGGTTCAGTATATAATAGTGATGGTGAAAATGATCCAAAATCTCCAGGTAAAAATTTAAAATAAAATTTTTTCTAGAACTAATAAATTCATTTCCGATAGAAACTCCGATGCATATTACTCAATCTCCTATTCTCCGACATCGAATGGCACATAAAATTCAACACAAGTTCGTATTACAGAAAAAAAAATGAATATAGTTTTGTGTTATGCTTATATTCACGCTTTTGCTTAATTCTTCGTTATATATTCACATTTTATTATCACTTTAATAATTAATTTAATGTTGTTATTTAACCTTGGTGATTCACACTATTACTATTGTGTTCATAACGTAAAATGTGATTGTTTCTGATTAACAACAAAAAAGCAACAACAATATTTTGTTTTTTCTCTATCTCATTCTCAGGTGGAGTAGTCTAATGAAACTATCGACGTGTAATGTATGTTCAAAAAAGATCTTCTTTCTCGGTACCAAATGCAATGTTTGCAAGTAAGATATATATGAAAATTATTAGTACAAATACATATCCTAAGACTTCGTATATATTATATTTTTCTCTGCTTTGCGCATTTCTTGTTTAAAAATAATTAGAGAAGGAGAAAAAATCAAGTTCATTTATATATTATTCTTCTAGGTTTGATAGAACACGTGTATTCAAATTTTCCTTTTGTGATGTCTGTAGGAGACAGGTATTTCGAGGAAAATCTTGTCTTCATTGCAAGTAAGATGCTAAAAATGCAACTTGCAACCACACAAAAAAAAGAATTTAGCATGATGTTAGAAACGCATGATTGATCCCTTGACTAAAGATAATTGCCCGTGTTTATTACATTGAAATTTTAAATTAACATATATAAATATTTATTATTTTTT